GAGTTAGTTCGAAAAATTGGAAAATCAATTATTTTATCGATCCCGCCGCCCTGAATATGGATTTATCTCGCGTGATACTTCAGCGCGTTATACGTTAACCATTTGCAATTTGCAAATTTGCGATAATGCCCATTCGAGGTCACGCTGGACGACGGAAGGTTGGAGTGGACGGGCGCTTGAACTAGTTCGATGCGTGTCGTTCCGACTCGTTGACGTTACAAGTGTCGTACCGCATGTAACCGACGCGATTAATTCTTGGGAAACTAGAGAACGGAAATTACTAGACGATACACACAAAGCGACGCGCGATCTCCACCTCTCGCTCTCCCGGGATGGGACGAGAAGAGCGAAACGATCTACATGTATAGCAGAAGGTCGGCGTAGCTCTCGCCTCCGCGCCGACAGATCACCGGCTAGGCTTCGCGAACAGTCGGTCGGCGGTAGAGGTGGTTACGCAATGACCGACTCGCGATTTCCATCACGGACGTTCCAGCCTTTGATTCTGGCCCAGCCCAAGAGAGATGGTCGACATGGGCGCCGGCAGCATCTTATTTTCTCCCTCACGTTCCACTCTAATTCCACATATTTGAAATGTCAAGTTGCTGTTATCGTTTCAAAAAGAAAAGAGAACTGACAAGTATTTATTGTACATGCAGAAAAATATCTCTCTATCGCTAAGAAAGGTGATTATTTAAGTAATTTTCTTCCTTTCAAGTAACGGTCTTTAACGAAGAATTTTTTCGTGATATTCTTAAAATGTACTTATTAGAAATTTTAGAAAAAATTATTATTACGTACTTAAAACTAGAAATTACTCTCTTTTGAAGGATGTTATAAAATTGATCGGAGCGACTTTATGTAAGAAATAAATCAAATTTATCGTAATTTAATAATCTTGGTTGAAGTAAAGTAAATTTACTAAGATTCGGAATATATTTCGAATAAACTTGATTATCTGTCATAAGTGATAAACTTATACGGATATATGAACTTTTGAGATATTTAAAACAAGTAATTATTAAAAAATTATACAATATAATGGCTTATTTCGAGCTGTAATTAAATTAACTTTAAATTAATATAATCAACGTTTCGGCTTACAAAGCCTTCTTCAGTATTACGACGCAGAAATACAATATTAAATTAACAAACTAAATAAATAACGAATACAATGAAAATTTAAAAAACCATCAGTGATGAAGTGTCAATATATAAAGAATTTTCAAAACGTCTAAAAGTATTATGACTTATTACAATAAAGTAGGAATATTTGAATACTTCAATCAAATATAAAATCATCAATCATATATAAGATCTATTTCCAATAAAATTATTAAGTCTATTAATAGATCCAAAAACATGATTGACTATAGGTGCTTAAACAAGCTTAATAAATTTATCAAAGTTCATAAAGACAAAAATCAACATGATAAAAATAATAATGTCATATATAAAGTAAATTGTAATAACTGCAATGCATCGTATGTTGGCCAAACGAAGAGACAATTACAGACAAGAATTAAAGAACATCGCAATAACATAAAATTAGACCAGTGCAAATACTGTCAGTAATCTCGAAACATATCACGGAAACTAATCATAACTTTAATTGGGAAAAAGTTAGTATTCTTGATTTCGAAAAGAATTATCGTAAAAGAAATATTTCTGAAATGATACACGTTAAAGAACAAAAAAATTATTTAAATTTAATGAAAAATACTGAATTATTGGACTCTTATTTTAACATACTTGATGATATACGGGAACATAAATTGTGAACAACAATTTTGAACAGACTTGTTTTTTCATTCGATTTTATTGACTTACTTTTATTTAATCTACACATCACATCAGTTAATTTTCAAACGAGCAACAGTCAATATCTAATTTTAATGTACTTAACCGGATTTCTGATTGAGAGTTTTGATTACAGTATACAGTATTTTATATAAATTATAACGTAAGTTATTATTTGATTCTGTACTTCTGATTCACACTAATAACATATTATTTTAACATATCTATTTGTTCTACAGAATATCATAAAATACTCGTAACTAATGAATTCTCAAATTGTTTGATACAAGTCTGCGACAAACTGGACAAATTCTCGATTTAAATCGAGGAATTTGGCAAAACTATTTTATCGAGGGATATATAATTTAATTTACTGTCGACTGAAGTATTCGACTGAAGTATCGACTCAAATATTCCTATCTTATTGTAATATGTTATAATATTTTTTTTTAATTCTTTATTGACACTTCACCACTGATGGTTTTTTTAAATTTTTATTGTATTTTCGTTATTTATTTAGTTTGTTAATTTAATATTGTATTTCTGCGTTTTAACACTGAAGAAGGCTTTGTAAGCCGAAACATTTGCTGATTATATTAATTTAAAGCTAATTTAATTATAGTTCGAAACAAGCCATTGACATTGTGTAATTTTTTAAGAAAATATACGAGCATTTTTACTCTAATTTCAAGTAATTATTACTTGCATACAATAAGTATTTTTCTATGTGTAGAGTTTAATATACAAAGTAAAAGAAAATTCATTCAATTGTGAACTTACAAAAATTTATAACACACATCCTGAAAAATATGTTTTATGAATGTTCGCTATTTTCCTGATTAACTATTTAATTACTTTATTTTTCTGATTAAATATTGTTGTTTTCTTCATTAAATATTTAATGACTTTTCTGATAAAATTGAATTGAATTAATTTTCATAATGTGAAAATATTTTGAATCTAATAAACTAATCTTTCAATAAGTTTTTAATTATAAAATAAAGTTTCCATGTATTTTACGTGCGATTTCTAATCTCAAGTACTTAATTACTTTTCAAATTAGCGATAACGAAAGTCTTTTTTTTTTTTAGATTTAATAAAATAGCCTAATTTTAAACAGATTAAGTATAAAATAAAGTACCTCCATATAGATATGATCTTAGATCTAACTGTGAGATATATACAATATATATATATATAAAATTTCTCTTTCCTTTTTGGGATATAGCAGATATTATGATTCAATTCGACATTTAAAGATTAATGCAATTTCTTCTGAGTTTCCTGATCGCAGATATCTCCTTTAGGTAATTTCCCGAAGGAGCAACTTCTTTTCCGTCATTGAAGATCGTACAGGTGCCACGGAGCTAAATGAAAATCGAACTCGACGTATGGCATTCCCGGCGTGAAATTTCTCCGCGGTCGATAGCTATTGTTACATCATTCGCATCCTTTCACAACGTCGCGCCTTATTGCCGATAACAATGGCAGTGGAGTACGGAGGCTCTGATAGATTTCTTTATTAACTTGGCAAGAGAGATCGAGAAAGTAACGCAAAAATACAAATCATTTTGATGCACTCGACAAAATTGATAATTTGTTTATTATTATTTTTACTCGTATTTATTAGGACTTTTCTGTTTTGAACGACTACGTAAGATTTCGAATATATATATGTGTCTATATTATTATCCGTCTCATAAATAAATTCATGATATACACGATATACATGATTTTCATGATTTTACATACATGAAATATTATATTACTTGTAATAAGTATGCACTGCTTAAGGTTCTTTAACATTGACATATATCAATGTACGTAACATCCGTGAAATGATATTAAATAATATTAATTAAAGTTTAAATAACAGATGCAGTATAAGACCGAGCACAATTATCACAGATCTTCCACACGATGCGATGATAATGCAAGCGGTGTTTATCGTTTCGTGACGAGCGCGGTTCAAAGGCCCCTCATTTACGATAGCCATACATTTACCCGTATTGTTATAGTCAACCACGAGACATATACATTCAAATGTACTCGTGAACTCATCGAGTATGGAGATTTTATTTATAAATCAAAACTTCTCCTCAACAAAAATACCGATACATAAATAGTTTCTCAATTAGAGACAAGAATTATTTTAATAAAAGTTCGAGGATTCTTGAAATATTTAATATCAAAACTTGGATCTTAATTTATAGTCGCGTATTTATAAGTATATTAAACCACTACATCACTAGAAAATTATATTAGTGCTTTAATATCTGACACAGTTGGAATGTTTTATTCAAAAGTAAACGGAAAGAACGATTTTACTGAAGTATCCAAAAATTTAGCTAGATACAGATATAAAGATAATTTTGATAGACCATGAAAATTTGTAGGTAGGACACTCAAACTAATTGCTAGATCGTCAAAATTTTTTGATCGATATTTTTTCAGCTAAAATTTTGAATACTTTAGCAACATTCTCTCCGTGTAATAGATAAAGCTATTAAAATAAATATATTTTAAGTGAAAAAGATGAGACGTTTACATTAAAAAATTATGTTTCCGAAATTATTTTCAACAGTCGAATTTTCAATCAGGCTAAAAAGTATAAGAGAGAAAAATTGAACACTTACATGAAAAATGAAGATACTTTGCATCTACTTAAGGTGCTAATTAAGGTGCCAGATTATATGGTCAATGTACGCCGCATTGTCAAATATTAAACACATACAGACACATGACATGCATAATTATTCATGAATGTAGACCAATTTAGTGAATGTGTGCAAAGTTGGCTTATATTGGCCAAATCTTTATGCCGAGCTTTATTCAATTCAGGATTCAATTAAAGCTTTTTCCGATTATATGAATATACAGTGATTCAATAAATCACGAGCACGTTTTGATTTTATATATATTGTTATTCATTCACGAGCACGACTCTATGTACCGTTATTCATTCATGGGAATATTGTCTAAAGCTTTTGCTCTTTTATATGTTTCTACAATTTTTTTGTATAAATGTAAGTGATAGCACCTGTAAAGATACTTCCCTGTTATTATTGCTATTGTATATTATAATTTTTACAAATTCTATTAATTTCATTCACTTTGGATCGATATACGTAGATTATACAATATCAGTGACTTATAAAGACGAACGACTCGAAAATTGAATACGCATTATTTTCTCGTTGCAGTTTCTTCAGAATCTGGGCAAGGTTGATCGAACCGCGGACGATATATTCGACGAGCACCTGCAGAACTTCACAAGGCAGCAGAACTCCGCCAACAGACTGCAAAAGGAGTTCAACAATTACATCAGGTGTGTTCGAGGTAAGTCTTCCCGCGGGGCAAAGCTAACTCGTCTTTTCTTTAAATGGCAATCGTTATTAGACGCGCTAATGTTTATCATGTTTTACACGCAGAGGGAAAATGTGATATTCTGCGATAAATTAAATGCTTAAGTTTACAGAAATTTAACAGTTAGCTATAGAGAGTATTTTTTATAGAGTCGCGAATGTGTGTGATAGTAATTACGATGGCATATACGTCGTCGCACTTAAGCATCTTAACTTTTGAATGATTAAGCGTTTAATTATCTAATCAGCGTTTTGAATTTATTCGATATTGATTAGAAAGAAATTTATGTAAGCGCTTATTTAACAACATATTCACGGTAATTAGATTCACGGATGTAAAAATTTGTATTACGTAGTTAAAACTGCACAGTAGGAAAGCGACGATAGCTATTCATCTAGCGAGTCTCGTTGGCTATTAATATCTTAACTATAACTTCTACATTGTAGAGAGTTGTTTGAAAGTTATTTTTTTCAATTGTAAATTCTTTAACCGGAATGTCTTTTTTTGACATGAATTTAATTAACGTAAATATATATTCAGATTTATGTAAAAATTCTTGTCATTTCATGAATTCCTCAAGAGTTTTCCTAGGAATCTTTTCTTTCTGTCGTAAGATCCGCAGTATAAACTTTTGCAGTACAGTAAAATCCTTTGCACATTTGTAAAAATAATATACTCGAATTAACAAATCCGTGCAAAACATGGCGTGCATTAAAAAGAAAAAAAAAAAGACTCTCGCAACCTTGCATCGCCGTGACCTGGTTGCTAAGCTCACGTGGAGGCTGAATTATTTGCTCTGTAACTTCGTACTCTGCCCTCTCTTTTTTTACAGATTCAGATAAATGCGTTCATAGATACGTGTTTAACTCAGCATTGATTTATGCCTGCAGTTTCTTTCACTGTATCTTCTTACCTCTCTTTTTTTCCTCTACGTACATTACGATATAAAAATTACTTAACTACTGACAATAAAATAAATAACAATTTTGCTCCGTATGAGGATGTGATAGAAAGAATACAAATTACTTTCGTAAACGAAATTATGCAATTAAATGTAATTTTGTCATCTAATAAATGCCGAAAAGATTTGTGCTGTACGGAAAGAACGATTTTTCTGGAATATTTAAAAATTTAGTTAGTAGTATTTAGGATTGTGCGTTTATACGTAAAATATAATAATCTACATCTTTATGTATACAGTGTAAACTATGTAAGTTATGTCATCCATTTAAACAATCTATTCATCGAAGTTTATGTTCTTTGACTGTACTGAAAACTTCAGCTTCTATCGCTTGTATATTTTTATTTATATTAATATTAAAATCAGATATATTAATAATAAAGCTTAATTATTTTTCTCTATATTATGTTGTCCAATTTATAATAATTTATATATTTTACATCACTCGTATTGTCCACATAAAAACAAATTTGTGCAACTTTAACATAAGCAGTACGTAAAAAAATTACATGCAAATATAACCTTGAAATGTACGGCATAACCTAATTTATATTATAATTAGATTAGAAATTAATTTTGTTGGACCACGTCATAATAATTCTGTAAAAAAATTCAAAGCGTGATAAGTAATACTACAAAAAGTTTTAACATTCTAACAATCAATTCGAGCATTTTATATAACTATTTTGATAGTTACTAACCAAATTATTTTAAATCTGTTTTTAGCTTTAGATAGCTCGGCAAAACCGTTCTTTCCTGTGGAAATCTTTATCGCTCATATGATGGGGGGGAATTGATTTCTATTAACTTAACGAAGACTCTGTCATCGACAATCGGGGAAAGTGATTTTCGCTGTTCCTCAATCGACACTTCCATTCGCTATTATCGTCTCTCGGACGAATGACGGACAGATGTGAATAACGACCGACCCCGCGGCGATCCCGCGCAGATTCGTCGACATCAATTACTGTCGAGAGGAACCAGCGTAATATTTTAATCGCCTGTATATTCGGTAATGCACCGTAGAGATACATAACACGCGAAACGACCTTTGATAGCGCTCTACAGGAAGAAATTACTTAATCTTTCGCGCTGTTCCAGTAGCGCCGTGTCCCAAATGTTAAGCCACACGGCCTTGTCGCGATTGAATGTTGAATATTTTAGATAGACAGTAGCCCGAGAGAGGTACCATCAGCTGCGATCGATAAGGTGCAGTCGAAATTGATAAAGACAATTCGTTGGCCTTTCCAATACACACAGATAAATATTATTCTATTGCTAAGGAAAGTAATTGGTCAATTCACTTTTTTTTTTTCAAGTTACGATTATCTTCAACAAACAATACTTTCTTGATAATAATTCTAAAATATTTATTATAAAAAAAATTCATTATTTTATATCCTTAAAATAAGAATTTATTTTCTTTTGATGAATTATTAGAAAATTGATCGAAGAAGCGACTTTTTATATGTATGATAAGCAAATCAAATTTCTCCTAATTGAATCATTTCGATTCAGGTATCATATTAGTTAGGATTTTAAATATATTTTTATATTTTTTTTATGCTTGTAATGAATATTGATATCTGATAGATTTGCAAATATATGAACTTTTGAAATACTTAAAACGGTCAATTATTATTTGTGCACAAGTACGTCTTTTTCTGTGGATACGATGACGAGATAATTAATATTTTGCGCAGTAAGCACATCGATACGACGACTATTCAAATTTGAGCAGAAAGTTAAAATTTACTTGATAGTTACATCTTGCTGCGCATTCCTGATTTCTAATGGCATAATACTGTGATTTATAATGCAAAATCGTGGAGTGATTATGATTATTGATTACGTAATATACATATTGTGTCGAAGTATACAATGTAGAGGTACATTGTAACTCACATAGGCATAAATTTATTATAAATTTTGGATTATCGACTAAAATTATATCAATCAAAATTATTATATTAATTTGCAAGGTAATTGACACTGACGTTCACATGCCGATGATCCTTCGACAAAGGTCTTTAGGTTTTTATGAGGTTTCTATCCGCTTCGCGAGTGGAATTACGCGTTTTAAAAGCTGGAAACCCGGCGATATGAGCTCATTCTCTCTCTCTCTCTCTCTCTCTCTCTCTCTCTCTCTCTCTCTCATTCATTCACTCACTCACTCACTCACTCATTCACTCACTCACTCGCTCAGAGTCTTGACACGAGGCTAGCAAACACGCGCGAAATCAATAGAAAAACGTCATTCGATCTTTAATCCTTCCCACTCGAATCGTTAGTCGCAAACAACTTTTCTACGCTTGGCTGGTCTACAGCGACGTGATCGCTTTTTAGCCCGTGCGTTTCGACATCGCTGACCACGAATTTTAATTTTCGCCAGAGACCGACGAAAAATTGTCGAAAATGTGTTGAAAAAATAGGTACGAAGTACTCATCGGGGACGCCGTTTCCCGTTAGATAAATGTCGCGATGCGGTCGCGGATGACTTCCTCGGAGAAGGTGTTAATCACGAAGTGCACAGGATCCGCGTTAACAGCTCTTAGCTTTCCATTTATCACTTGGCAGACGGGCATAAATACCCGCATGCGAAACGTGTCGGTAGGTAGGTGTCGACGACGAAGCCCCTCTGCCATTATAAATGCGGGCAATGGTAAAATACGACGAAAGTGTGTCTGTGACGCGTTGGAAATTCGATCGCCGACGATTCGTCAGAATTTTCACGAATTTTCCGTCGCCGTATGCTCTATGTCTGAGTCCAAGTTCCAGATGAGAGAAAAGAAGGAGCTATAATGAGGACGCCGGTGCGCGACTCATTGAATCGGGTAAAAAGCGATTATACTGAGAATTATCATTATGGCAGCCCGTTTACCGTAATTTTCACTAACGACGAATCATTTAGGTACATTTGCGCCACATGAATGATGTTGATTGCCATCAATTGCGCCTGTTAAAATTTATATGTGGTTATTACAATTAATGTACAATGTAGTCGTGATACTGCTTAATTATGCTCGCCCCGCGCGATAAATGTAATTATTTTACAGTAAATTTTTCAGAAATGCGCGCTTACACAGTTTTATTGCACCAATTCGTCAACTCACTGGAAGTCGATATTTTCTACGTGAAAGCAATGTGAAGCAATTAATTTTGTTTTTTTGTTTATTTTATTTCTTTATTTTATATTCAGTTAGGTTTTAAATGCAATTTTTTTGTATGCTGTAGGTTTAAAATATATATTATAAGTTCAAATCAAATACGTATAATAATAGAATTGAAAGAAATCTTTTGATGGAAAATTTTATTTCGATGTTAACATATAAATAAAATGCCATATCAGTCTATATATAGAAGATTACATCTTTCGTTCTGTTGTGCAATTAAAAATTTTGACCCAAGCGAGATAAAACGTCGTTCTGCAACTTTTGCAGAAGGAATTTGTAAGCAATTGGCTTATCGCCGCAGGTGAATGCACTAGGAGAGGTTTAAATGTAGGTCAGGAAAGTAGTCACCCGCGTCGCACATTTATTCCTGAGGTAAAAAGACACGTATCGCCGTGATGGAGAATCGGCGTGAAAAAGTTCTTTCTACGGCTTTGAAACGGCTGTGAAACAACATCGTCTCTCCGGACGACCGCGTTGCGCGCCGTCTTCAACTTCAGACGTCTTCTTCATCTTCTTCCTTTGCCACGCGAAATCTCTTTGTGAATCTTCTGCAAGTTTTTCCATTTAGCAGTAATCAAGTTTTCTCAATGACAAATAAAATGTCACTGAAAAAATAGATGAGAAAATTGAGCGAAGCGACGCGTGTGTATTTCATTTTGCAGCGGTGCAGGCCGCTTCAAAGACGCTCATGGACTCGTTGAATGAGATCTACGAGAGTCAGTGGACCGGACACGATCTGTTGTACGTGCAGGCACAAAGTCTTGACATGCTGTGGCAAGATTTCACTCACAAACTTGCGGACCAGGTTCTTGTACCACTCAATACGTATCAAAGTCAATTCCCAGAGATGAGGGTACGTCCCGTGCAATCCTCGATGGTTGCACCACACAATTTCTTTATTAATAATACTTTTTTTTTCACCATTTGTTTTAAAAATAAAACTCCATTGAAATTACAATTAGAGTAGTATAAATTAATAAGTTTTTTATTTTATATAAAAATTAATAAATAATTTTTTTTACTTGCTTTTATAAACAGTAAATAATAATTTACACGTAAAATTGTATAGTAAAATTGATAATAATAAAGATTGAAAATGAATTGAAAATTTTACTTGATCTCTACAACAGGATCAGATAATTGCTGTAATTTAGGAAAATTAATAATAAGATGCATGAAGATATTATGTTTCAAGGATTTCATTGATTTTTCAGAAAAAGGTCGACAAACGCGGACGCAAACTGGTGGATTACGACAGTCAGAGACACAACTTCCAGTCGTTGCAGGGTAATCCAAAGAAGAGGGATGAGCTCAAAGTGTCCCGGGGGAAGGAATTGTTAGAAGAAGCAAAACGTACATACGAACAATTAAACTCCGAGCTGCACGACGAACTGCCAGCATTATACGACTCGCGCGTTCTTTTCCTCGTTACAAATTTGCAGACCCTCTTCGCCGCAGAACAAGTGTTTCATACTGAAAGTTCCAAGGTATCTAAAGTAGAATCAGTAATAATAAGAATCGATGAAAATAATAAAAATGGGGGTTCTCTTCAAAATTTTTTCTTAAACTCCTTCAATCAAGATTTGATTGAATAATACAGAATTTTATTTATTAATTTCTAACAGACTTTAATGTGAATTCAATTCGGTTTCTTTATTGAAATGTAAAAATTTTTTAATTTACAGAATTTTATAGTATAATTGTATGTTAATTCTGTTTTCATTTATATTCCTAGGTATATTCTGAATTAGAAGCAATTGTTGATAAATTGGCTAACGAAAGTCAGCGAGGATCTTACACGTTGAAGAAGAATACGGAACCGCAATCACCGAAGTCACCCAACGCGAATTCGTCGTAAGTAGATCGAGTCTGCAAAAATCGAAATTATTGCGAAGAAATAAAAGTAGTAATTACAAAAGGAAAACGTTATTTGGCAAAGCTGCAATTATATAAAACATAATATTTAAGCGGTTGTTACATAAAACATGATACGATAATAATTAATACAAAACCGAAAGAGATATGTAGCAGTTACATAATATTAATAATACTGATTTGTTTCAGCCTAATAATTAACACGCAGCCGGCGCAGAACAATATCTCAGGAGGTAATTATTTTGTTGTATCTTTGTTCAAGTTGAATTTGTGCGCGTGTATATTAATTTTATATATACATACACATATATATATATATATATATATATATATATATGTTACACTAACACTTGTATGCCTGTAACGTCCTCGCTACACGTAGAACAAAACGCGAAACATTTTCCAAAAGGCTTTGAGCTTCACAAGGCCGTGTTGTGGCTCGGCATTCAGTTTTGAGTGTGCTTTCTCTCGCGTGTTTCAGCTTTAGATGATACCGCGCCCGTTGCCAGAGACACGTCGCCGACCACCCAGATAAACGGCAACGCTAACAGCAACGCTAATAGCAACGCTAATAGCAATGATAACTCTCTCAATAATCAGGATGCGTCGCCGCAGAACGCAGTCGCGCCTTCTAAACGAGTCGAGGAACTGTATGATATTCCAGTTGGTAAGCCGTTCGCGAATTTTTAAACTTTGCCGTGTTTTTTAATGTGCCTTTTTGTTAACGTTATTTGATCTTGGCGATTTCAACTGAAATAATCTTGAATAATCATTTCATTGTCATTGAATTTTTATCTTTAATAATTTAAAAATAGTGTTTTTAGCGTCATTCGTTTGCAATTATTATAAATATTTGCATAATTCAGTAACAAAGATTCTTGTTACTGAAGTTAGTAAATATGAAGTAAAATAATTGAATTGTATTTTGCAAAAACAAATAAACGATATTTTAATTGTCTATTGATTTATTTTATAACGTTGAGCTCAATAAAATTGTTTCGAATTTCAAAGTAAATTTGCGCGTATATGTAACGTAACAATGAATCAAATATTATTAAATTTGCAATATCGGATTGTTAATATAACAATAGTACGCTGCTTACCCCTATGTGTATGGTCTTGCCGAAACAAGATCGTAGTTAATTTGACCTAGATGTGAAATTAAACGTTAATTATGCAGTTATGCCCATATCGCGTTAGTGATTGGTGATTGTGTCCACGTTTGCGTCTCTTAACTAATCAGAAAGAAAGACCTGCTGGTCGGCAGTTTCTTCTTGATTGGTCAAGAGACGCAAACGCGAACGCAGATGCAATCTTCAATCGCTAATGTGATACGAGCGTTAAACGAATGAAACGAAACTTTGCACACAATTGATATATGTATATATATATCAAAGTCTCCAATGCGAACAAAATCACAGGCAGATCCATGACTAACGGGGCGGACTCAATCGTTCTAGAGGCGGAATATGAAAATGCTGCTAATTTCTCTACAGGGGCGACAACAGACAATCTGCCGCCGGGTGTTTTATACAGGGTTAAAGCCACTTACAAGTACAGTCGTGAGGATGTGGACGAGTTATCGTTCGACGTTGGCGAGATTATTCGCGTGGTGGAATACGACGATCCTGAAGAACAGGTTCGTAATTCTTGGAATAAATAAGACTCGACGATGTTAGAAAATCTAAACGTATTCATTAACATGTCCGACGTTACTTCTTACGATGTTTCTTATTCATTACAGGAAGAAGGCTGGTTAATGGGTATCAAAGAAGGAACCAATGAAAAGGGTATGTTCCCGGGAAACTTCACGAAACCGCTGTGAAAGCTGTGCTCGATTCGCCATTTACACTCCAATGCTCATCAGAGACAGCGTATTTTACTTTAAAGTAGTTAAAGAATCGCGTAATTAAGTGGGAGATAAAGAGCCGCGCGGTCATGCGAGAATAATATTACGTACGGCGTATATAAGTAAAAGCAAAGGGAAAGGACAAAAGCAGGCGACAAGGTTGCAGGAGGAATATGGAGAGGGAGCGGGGAGAATTCGATAAGATAGTTATGCTGGAGGGTACTGCGGAGAGAATCAATCACCCCAAAGTGCCTTAACCCAGCCACTGTCTGTGCCAACATTCACTCTTATTCGTCAAAAAAATATGGGATTGACCTTCTCATATCAAACGTACGATACACATCATGAATAATAATCAAACGACATATTTAAGCGACTAAATAATATATTGTAACACGTATACACAATAAAAAACACACACCGCACATACATGCGATATACACTACGATATGCAATATTATATAATATAAAACGAAATCTATATATTATATAAATTAATATTATTTTATGAAATTGTGTACATAGATCTATATATACGATTAAGAGTATTTTACGAGATAACTTTGTGACTGGAAAATTATTACTAAGAGACGTACATCTTCAAGTTAAAAACGTGCGCGCCACTTCAGTAAAATCCCCTTCTGCCGTTTAATGGGAGGGGGGGAGGGTCATAAAATTTTTAAGGTCCAACTACCTGTCTGCATTCGTAAGGTAAGATTCTATACTATTTACTCGCCTACAGTTCGAGAGTGATAGCTCCCATTAAAATCTCGCCACAATTCGCATGCCAAATTTTTCAACGACGTAACAATAGATATCGAAAAGGTTATACGTGAGAGAAATAAATATTACGATGTATAAATGAGATGAGAGTATAGCTTTTGTGTATTTATGATTGATAGTTCTTTTGTTGTTTCTCCGCTTTTTGGAGCATCGCGAATTTTTCTCCAGTAAAATCTATTCATGTATTATTTTGCGCAGATTTTATTCATTTGTCCGCAAATCTTTTATGTACATGTATGTAGAAAATCGGGTAGCGACGAGAGAGCGTTTATTATTATAATATTTTATTACTACTGTTATTATTATATATATTGCTATAATTATTATCGCTCCCGTATCTATTCATGTTATCAAGATAGAAAACGAATACGTAACAATTCAACTCTGAAACTTTTGTAAACTTGATCAATACTCGTTAGATCTGCCGAAACATCTTGTATTCGTATCTTGTGTAATAAATAGTGTTGTAATAATACACACACACACACACACACACACACACACACACACACACACACACACACACACACACACACACACACACACACACATATATATACATATATACATACGTACATACAGCGTTAGCATTAAGAGAAAATATCAGCTTTGAAAGAATTGTGTGTCTTTATTTTATCATGCTGGTCTACTGTGCAAGAATACAGTTCAAGTGCCTTTTTATAAAAGAGATCATTTGTTTCGAGGATAGATTTAATGTTACGAAATTATTAGACTTTGCAGAAGTTATTAATAGGTTGTCTTGGTTTCTTAAATTTCTTCCTGAAAAAAATACTGTAATATTTTTAACAAGCAAAAAGAGAAAGAAAAAGAAAGTCTGTACAAATTTGCAATCCTAGAGAGATACCCGAATAAATTTTAATTAATCCTTTCAAACTCGAAATTTACATTATACCATGTGCAATAATAATTATGTGATTATACTTATATTTATCGAATGGAAATGATGCAAGATAATGCATTTAAATATTAAGAACGGATATGACAAAAAATCCCTTTCGCTAATTATGCACTAAATTTTTTTTATGGTATACAAATACAAGTATGTTATTTATTTTGCATTTATGAGACAAAAACAAATGAACAAGGAGAAAGAAAAAAAATTAAAAGTATCAATGACTTTACTATCTTAAGTATATTTGGCAAGATGCTTAAATATATGCGCATATATTAGAAAGAGTAGTAAACAATGGTTTTTCTTCTTATGCAAAATATAAAAATATACTTTTCTATCTTGTGTAAATGCAGAGGACTTGACAAAGGTAGATATATACGATAAATACTCCACATCTGTTTGATAATTAAAATGTTAAGGAAACTCAGAAAATTTGATTTTTACTTTATTACTATCAAAGTATAAAAATATATAAAAAAGATAAAGAATGAAACACTAAAAGTCAGTAGTAAAATAAAGAATATTTTTTTACGTCATTAATCTCATTATCTATAGAGGAACAAATCTCTCATGACGTTCAGATTGACAAATATTTATCAATATGCATAATAAGCAAAAATTTAGCGAAAAGAAAATTTTTATTTTGTCAAAAATAATGTTTAATAGCATATATGGGTTATACGTGTCCATTAGCAATTTTACCTTCAGTGTTGGAAGATAAATTTAAATTTGGCTGTTTCCCCACACACACACACACACACACACACACACACACACACACACACACACACACACACACACACACACACATACACACACACACACACACACACTTAAAGGAAAAAATTATATTATTTATACCAAAAAGGATTTTATTAAAGCTTGGAAAATTTGAAATAATGATATATATGTGAACATGAATGATCCATGTGTGTCATTTAAAGATTAATATTTTATATATTGATACATAACGCAATTAGGAAAACAAAAATAGATAAATAAGGCAAAAAAATGTCTACAATGGAAATAAAGATTCATTATAATGGGCGCGTAACTGATCATTTCTTTCTGTCACGTATTTTATAATTTTTTAAAACATTTACTCGTCACAATCGAAAAGTTGACGAAATTATCGTGTCGTACATCGATTACTACAAATTTTTTTTTTTTTATTTTTGCATAGTTTATATCATATATCTAGCAAAAGACCGCAGCTTTTTACGACCAAAAATAAAATAAAATAAAATAAAATTGAAGTAAGAAATGATTGCATGCGCGACATGCCTCAAGTCTATACTTTGTTTTTAAAACTTATTATAAGAGTTCATGTATGTATTATATTCTAGAAATCTGTCGATATGGGCTTCGTGAAGCCTCACATGCTAAACTTAATCCTCTCGTCAAACAATAGTAACAGTTTTGTGTCATGCGTTTTTACTGATTCCTGCATGGAGAAACAACGCAGGTGATGAAATATAGGTAATCAATGTTACGCTACGTTTGGAAATTAATTTGTAAATGCTAATTCAGATTTCTTTGCGCATTTTTTAACAGAACGGCACTTACCTTCAGTTCAAATATTAAATTGACAAATTTGTTAATAAAACTTCGAAGCGCATCTCTCTCTTTCAGTATTGCGGCTTCTTAATATAAAAATAATTGAACAAGTGAAGAGCAGCAGCCAATGGGATGACTACGAATCCTATGGTGGATAAGAAGAATACAATTTGAAGATTTCGATTTGCATCGAATAGAAAGGAAACAGCAGACGTCACTACGAAGAAAAAAAAACAATTTAAATAAAAGATAAAGACAAAAGGATTGAATGAAGCAGATAAAAAGTAGAAATATTACTACAAAGCAAAAAATTGAGAAATGTAGGACTTTGAAAATTCTTACGGAAACGCGAGAAAGTGTTATTTAAAAAATTCAAATATTTTCTATGTAAGATGACATATTCTATTAATTCGTATTAGATATTCGAAGAGTTCTCTTTTTAGAAGGCTGTAAAATTGTAGAACCGTATTTCACCGCACCGGTGACGATCGATCGGTAAAGCAGGGAGCTCGATGATCGGTAAGACAGGCAGCGCCGCGCCGTTACGTTCTCCGTGCCTCCTCCCCGGCGGGTGGCGGCCGCACCTCCTCCTACTCGGCGATTGTCGGCGATTTTAATCTCGTTAGCGGACACGTGCGCGCCCCCCCCCGCGCCCTACGGTGCTGGTGATACGCAGGCAGCTCAGCCACGAGTGAAACGGAGAGGAGCTGGCCGTGGGTGCCGTGTCGCGGGGCTTCACCAATCTGGTTTGGTCTAACAAGATTCACGGCTCGCGCGACACTTCATAAAAGCTGCGCGCCGGACGGGCGCGGCGCGTGTCGCAAGGAATTGCTCCGCTCGAGAGGTGTGGGCGCTCGTGCAGCAGCAGCAGCAGCAGCCGCCGCCGCCGCCGCCGCCAACAGCAGCAGCAGCAGCAGCAGCAGTAATATAGACAGAGAAAGAGTGATAGATAGATAAAAGAGGGAGAAGATAGAGACGACCAAGTATCGCTGGTGGAAACCTCTCTCTCTCTCTCTCTCTCTCTCACTCTCTCTCTCTCTCTCTCGCACGGCGACTCGACACGTCGTCACCGTCGTCATCGTCGTCGTCGTTGTCGTCGTTAACGTGACCACGCGCGTCGTCGTATGCCGCGCTCGTCTCGCGGTAATCCTCGTGTTGTGTTCCCGTGTCATTCGGTGCATCGGAGCAGGAACCGCAGTACTACCACCATCATCATCAGCAGCAGTAGCAGCGGCAGCAGCGGCTGCAGCAACAGCAGCGACAGCTTTTCGCGTGTGCTACGGAGAGAGCGTGATAGAGGGAAAAGCGGAGCCGCGCGAGCGAGACAGAGGGAGCGAACGAGCGAGAGTGAGTGAGTGAGGGAGGGTGGGAGGGAGGAGGGAGACGGAACGGAGCGCCGGTGGGTTACCACACCCAACACCGCGCGAGCCGAGCCGGGGAGCCGATCGCCGAACGTCGTCGCTGCGCCGCTCTCTCGAGAGCTCTCTCTGGCCGCGCCGTGCGTCTAGTACTACGCGGGTGAACGCGCGCCGACCATCCAGGACAATCCAGGACTTCGGTCATCCGGGTCGTGTCACCGGGTGCTTCCGTCAAGCGCGCCGAGTGTTTCATCCGCGCGCCGGGATAAGAGAACAGCGACACGGATAATAACCAAAGAGAGAGAGAGAGAGGAAGTGCAAAGAGGGAGTGAAGAAGTGCGCGGAGAGAGAGAGAGAGAGAGAGAGAGGGAGGGAGGGAGGGAGAAAGAGACGGAAGGAAGGAAGGAGCGAGTGAGAAAGAGACAGAGACGGACCTCGCCCTCTGCGAGGAAACATCCGTCGAGGTTACATCGACGTCGTGCTCGTCGGGAAAGGCGAAACGTGTGCGCTCCGGTAGGTACATGTGTGCTACTTGCGTACGTGCGTGAGTAATAGAGAGAAGGAGAGGAGAGCGCGCAGAGAGAAGTATATATTATATAGAGAAATATATATATATATATATACATATACATACATACATAACGTGCACACACACGCACGCGCACACACACCCACACATACACGCGCGCGCGCGCACACGCACACATACATACACACATACACACACGGGAAGATTCGCATAGTGCGCCTCGACGAACTCGCAGTTCGCACTCGGGGCGAAACGTGCGTGCGCGTGAGAGAGATACGAGGCCGTAACGGGCGAGAGGAAGACCGCGAAAAGGAAGGTGAGGGAAGAAAAAGAAGAAGAAGAAGACGAAGAACGGAGAAAGGAGCATTGAGCAACCGTGCGGAGCGGACAACAGACAGCAGAAAGCAAACGGAGTAGTCGGAGAACGACAGAGGCGGCGCGAGGGGCTCGTGTGCGTGCGCGTAGACGCGCGTTGATGCGTCGCTGGCGTCGTCGAGCCCCGCCAGGAGCAGCGGCGCTGCATAGACGCCGCCGTCGTTGAGGGGAAAACACGGGTGCGCCGCCGGGGACGTTCCCCCGTCGTCGTCGTATACGCCGCCGTCGCCGTCGCCGTCGCCGCCGTCGTCGCCGTCGTCGTGGTGACCGTCGTGCCGGTGCAAGTGCCAGTGGTGGTAGTGGTGGTGGTGGTGGCAGTGGTGGTGGTGAGTTGCCGCGAGTGAGTGAAACACCACCGTCATCGTCGTCGTCGTCGCCGCTACCGTCGACGTGACCGTCGTCGTCGTCGCCGCCGCCGCCGCCGTCGCCGGTGGTGGTAGTAATAGTAGTGATACCGGTACCGTCGCCGGTGGTGTCCGTAGTAATAGTAGTAGTAACAACGGTAGTGGGAGGCAGCCTGGAGTGAGACAGGCACGACCGGGACGAGAGAGACGGAGAGAGAAAGAAGGAAGACGGGGACCACGAGGACGGCGACGAGGCACCGTCATCGTCGTCGTCGTCGCTCGTTCGCCACCGTCGCCGCGGTGGCGAGATAATAACCTGGTTTTCCCGCTGGGGAACGATCGCCGACTTGAATCTTAACACGCGTACATTGGGAGCGCCGCGTGCGTAAAAGAGGGAAAGAGAGAGAGAGAGAGAGAGAGAGAGAGACAGAGAGAGAGAGAGACAGAGAGGAGCAGCAGCCGCAACGAAGGTCGCCGCCGGTCGGCGAGCAGCGCTCGCTGTCACTGCGAATCGCTCATACACCCTCCTCTCCCCCTTCCTTCACATTCGTCCACGACCTCCCCTATATTCCTGCCCCCTTGTCACCTCCTTTTCCTCCTCTTCCTCCTTCTCCTCTTCCTCCTTCTTCGCTGTCATCACCTCCTCCGTCAAAGGAGGATTCCGCTGTTCTGAGCCATGGCGTGCTGCCTGTCGGAAGAGGCGAAGGAACAGAAACGCATCAACCAGGAAATCGAACGGCAATTGCGGAGAGACAAGCGGGATGCCAGGCGGGAACTCAAGCTGCTCTTACTCGGTGAGTTTCGTCGTTTCTCACAATAAGGTGGTATCGGGAGGGCGCCGGACGGGAGCCCGTCGTAAAACTGTAACTGAATGCTATAAAAATCACTCGCTCTCATCCCTATCATTTTTTCTTTTTCCACCGAGGTAAACGGGGACGGATCGCGTGCAGCAGGTTACTCCAAAAATAGCGAAAATTGTAAACCCGGCGTTGAGACGCACACGGGGAGTGATTGTGGATTACTCGGCTTAAACTCTCGGCTAAACGTACCGTCGTCGTCGTCGTCGTCGTCGTCGTCGTCGTCGTCGTCGTCGT